TCAAGCTATTGTGGAGAGGGCACACCTCACCTTCAAATCTGTGCTGTATAAGCAGACTGAAGGGAGAGGGATATCCACCGCTGATATTCCAGCTGTTGTAGCTAAGGTCCTTTATACCTTAAATTTTTTGTTCACTCCCCATAATAGGTCTCATACACCTGTTGAGCTTCATTTCAGGACTGAAGAACAACTTCCACGACCGCTTGTGAGCTATAGAAAATTACCTGATCCTGAGTGGAAGGGACCTGTGCCGTTAATAACTTGGGGTCGTGGATACGCAGCGGTAGCTTTGGATAATGGCCCTCTTTGGATTCCTGCACGTTGCGTTCGGCCATGGAGAAAGTCGTTGTAATGTCTAGTTTTTTGCTCACTCTTTTCACCTTGCCTTTTTATGTAGCCCCCATTCCGTTAGTAGAGAATATGTTCTTACAACTTGCTAATGATGTTGTTGCCACCACTAATCTATCAGACTGTTGGCTTTGCACTCATACTTCCCATCATAATTGGTATTGGCCCCTCATCCCATTCCAATTTCTGAACTACGGTGATTGGGCTAACATCTCTGTTCATGATGCCAATTCTACTATAACTAAAGACGCTGTTACTAGCCCTATTTTACTGGATAATCAAGCATTGTGGCCACCTGCGCCGTATTGCATTAAAGCCTTTTATGGGTCAGCTGATGTAGGTGCATATCCAAACTGTAGCACCACTCTTGTTCTTCCTCATAACTCAATTGACTGGGACTACACTGTTAAAGATTATGGCTCCATAATCTACCTTCCTACTTGCCCTTGTGTTGAATCTCGATGTATTTGTTCCGCTGCTTCCGCTTATTTCATGAGCGGTTATGTGGTGGACAATTGCACAGCAAGTGGCGTCAGGGGTCCTTGGCCCGATAACGTCACCCGGTGGAGGGCTCAAATGTCTCTACCGGATAGTAAGTATCTTTTATTCCGTTCCTTTCATTGGCAACGAACTGTCATAAAAAGGGGAGGAAAACCTGAAAATTATACCTATGGGTTACCTCCTGGGGTATTTTTCGTTTGTGGCACTGCCGCATATAAAGTCCTCCCTCCCTTCTGGCATGGTACCTGTACCCTTGCTTCTTTAGGACCTCTGAATATGAATATTCAATCCCATGATGCTGTAAAAAGGGCTACCAACCCTCATTTATATAGACGGAACCTTGATTCTAACACTCGAGGTTTCCTTGATTTCGTTGGGTTTTTCATTCCTTCTTTGCATGGTGTTTTCACCAATCTAAAATTGCTTAATATATCTAAAGACATAGAACGCTTGGCCAATGTTTCAAAAATTGCCATAAAAGCTTTACAAACAGAAGTGGACCCTTTAGCTAAAGTTGTTGTTCAAAATCGCCTTGCTCTTGATTACTTATTTCTCCGCAATGGCGGAGTGTGCGCTTGGCTAAATCAATCTTGCTGTTTCTACGTTAACCAATCTGGTGTGATCGAGCAATCCTTAACTACTATCCAAGAGGTGGTCACAGATCTCCGAAGAGACCCCTCCTCTTGGACGGATTTCTCTTGGCTCTGGTCTTGGTTGCCTAATCTTTCCTGGCTTCGGTCACTAATCATGTATGTTGTTATTATTATCGTGATTTTAATTATGTTATGCTGTTGTATTCAATGTATACCTTCTCTTGTTGATGTGCTCAAGCGTTGCTTTGCTTGTGCGCCTTCCCCAACTGTTAACCTTACGGCCAAGCAGCTGTAGCAAATCAAATATCATGTTTTGAACTCGCATGATGATGAAGATCATGCTCCTCTGCTTCCTCCTTATGAGGATGTGGGGTACCCTCTGCTTGTTCGTTGAGGTTCTCTGGAATCATCTCTTCCTGGCGTATACAATTGGCAAAAATTGACTTCACCAGTACAGAAGTGATAGTCCATTTAAATAAACAAAACGGAGGAGATGTGGGAATTCATTGCTGGGTCATGCTGTACTCACGTACGCCACGAAGACCAAGAGTATTGTAATTTACCTGTGTAACCATATAAGGCTTGTAACCTAAGCATTAAGGTGTTGGCTGCTTTTACTCGAAGGCCAATTGGCAGTATGCAAATACCTTTGTAAAACTGTGAAGTAATAAAAGCAGATGCCGGTGGTGACGCAGGAGGAAGAAGAAAAAACTTTGGGGGAAGAAGTTTTTGCTGTTCTCCCCCTGCAACTAAACCGAGCATGCTTTGTAACTGATTTCTGGACTGCAGTTTTCTTTCTTTCTTTCAACTTTTTCGCGCCGTTTGTCCAGGCTGACTGGCTGGCTGGTCGGTCAGCTCGTGACAGACCATTTGGTAGGTTCCCATTTTTGTGCTGTTTTTCCTCCATTCTAAAATGTTGACATGGTTCTTTCTGATAGTAAGAGCCTTAAGATAAAATATGCTTGTATTTCTGGCCCCATCAGCACCGGGTTGTGGCCCCTGAGCGTGTCTCTGAAATGCATTTGGCTCTTGGGCTTAAATACTTTCCACATTTCTGCACTAGATTTCTATTATAGCCAGCCAGAAAATGTGGATCCATCTATCGTTCTCTCTTTTAAACCTTTGAAACCACAATGAAAAATCAGAAAATCCAGTTCTTCTCTACAATTATTCTACTCCTGGTCTTTACCATTGCCTCTGTCATTGCCTTCATCTTTCTCCTCCTCCTCCTCCTCCATTGTATTGACACCCTGACTTTCTTCTTGAAGGAACCCAAGGCGACTTACAAGGTTCTAGTATTTGGACACTGAAGTACTTTCTTCATTATAAACCACATAATAAAATGTGATTACAGGTTCTCTGTTCTTTTACCCTACTAGGGCTTACCCTGTACAGCAGTCACCCCATTCTTCTGCCTGCCTGTCTGCTTGCTTTTAAGTCATTGCTGACATTTCTCTCCTTTCTTGCCGCAAGTCAGTCCATTCCAGGCTCAGTCCCCCTCCCCACCTCACTACTTTCCAGGTGTTTCTCTTCCTTCTTCTTACTCTAACATAGAGTCCCTTAGAGATTTTCCTACCTCATGCCATTACTATATAAATTAGAGCTGTCTGTGTTCAAGTCCTTAATTGTTCTTTACAAAAGAGATGTATTTCAACTTTCTTTTTCTTTTTCCATATTTTGCAGTTCTTCAGAGACGTTTCTTTCAGGTTCTCCTGCATTTTTTAAAATCTCAATTTATAGCTAAGTTAGTTGTTTTAATGGTGTGTGTGTGCATGTGTGTGTGTGGGTGGCCCCCCGCCGCCCCTCCGGGCAGAGAAGCACTGCCGGCCACCGCCGTGGCCCCTGCCAGTCCCGCGCCTTCCCCGCCGCGCGGCCGGGAGCCCTTTCGCTTTCGCTGCGCCTGCGCGGTGCGCGCGCTCCTCTCGGGGCCCCGCCCCCATGTCTCCTCGGCGCAGGCGCCCTGGGGTGGTGCCTGGCTGCTCCTGGGGGAGGGAGACCGGGGGGCCGCGCTCCGCGCAGTTACAGGTTGGAGGCGCCCCCCCCCCCGCCAAGCCCCCGATCGTCCTCGCCTCTCGGATGCGGCGGCCTCTTTTCCCTCCAGAAGCAGGTCAGCGGAGGGGGGTGCGAAAGGCCCGTTTCAGAGCCCCCCCCGCGCCCCTCCCGGAAGGCAACCCCCCCCAGCCCCGCGGCTCCATCTAGTCCCGCTTCGTCCCCGCAGCGCGGCCGGGCGCCCTTTCGGTTTAGCTGCTCCTCTCGGGCGTCGCTCTCCCTCGACCCCTCGGCGGAGACGGCCTGGGGGTGCGGTCTGGCTGCTCCGCGGTGGGGGCCCCCTTGACCTGCCCTGCGGCTTCATGGTCTCATCGCTTCCAGTTCCGATTCTTCTTACAGAAGAAGGCACTTGGTGCATGCTCAGGAGAACCCTGCGGTGAAGAGTGTTTCTGGGCGCAACCACGCAGAATTGCGCTCCTCAGGAAAGGACGGAGCAGCCACACGCTGCGCGCTCGCCCCACGTTGGGGGGCCCACCCGAGGGGGAAAGCAGGGAACGGCCCCCCGGTGCTCCCGGGGGCGCGGCCTCCCCAGCAGCGCAGCAGCAGTTACAGGTTGGAGGCGCCCCCCCCCGCCAAGCCCCCGATCGTCCGCGGCTCTCGGGGAGGGGCGAGGCGAGCGGCCCGGCCGCCCGGCCCTTCTGCCGCCACCCGCCTCCCCTCTGGGGGCTCGACGGCCACCGCGCTCCGACTGCCCGGGCTCCTGCCCCCCCCCCTCGGCCCAGCAGGGATCGGGGCCCCTCCTCGTGCGGGAGACCCTCAGCCCAGGGGAGCGACGGGCCCTGCTCGCCGCGGGCGCTTGCTCCCGCGGTGACCTGGGCCGGTCCTCGGTCCCTGCCCCGCGCCGCCCCCCCAGGTGGCTGGCCAGGCCTGGGCGCTTCCAGGCCCCGCTGCTCGGCGCCCCCTCGGCTGATCCGGCTGCTCCGCTCGGTGGTGAACATGGAGGGGGAGGCGTGGGCCGCGGGGGGGGGGGTCCCTGGCACTCGGCCCATCTCTGGGGAGGGGAAGCTGCCGCAGGCAAGAGGGGCTGAACCTGGACCCTGCCTCCCCGTGCGAGCCCCTCGGGGCTGAGGCCATCCCACCCCCCCCCCCCCCCCCGGGCCAGTCAGGCGCAGTGGCGTATGGGTCCCTTGCCCCACTCCATCCCCGCCTCGCTGTCCCGATGTCCCATTGCGCTGGAATCCGGCTTGAGCCAGGCGTGTCCATAGGCGCATGCGCGACCTGAAATGTGCAACCCCCCCAATACTTGAGCCCCCCCATGCATATGTCCGCATTTTGGCCCATTGGGGTCTGGGCCTGAGGGTCTGCAGCCGGTGACTCGCCCACGTCCGAATCCACAAGCAGCACAGACACGGAATGCCTGGAAAGCAGCCGACATTATTATTATTATTCTAATGTATATATTTTAATTTTTATTTATGTGGTTCTAATTTATTGTTGTAAGCCGCCCCGAGGCTTCGGTGAATGGGGCGGCATAAAAATGTTTTAGTAAGTAAATAAATAAATAAAGATTTTATTCACGGAAAGTGAGGAAAACACATCTTGCGCGCATGATGGATCATGCACAAACGACAGCAACGCAGCTGACAAGGCCGGCGCTGAGCATGCAGATGAAACGGATGGGGGGGCCGAGGGCGGGGTGTTGGGGGGCAGAACCCTGCGCGTCCCGCTCCCTGGCTGAGTCGGAGGGCTTCGAACCCCTCATTAGAGAATGGTGCAGTCCTTGGGAGGCCTCTCCCTCCGCACCTGCTCCAAGATTTCTCCTTTCTGTATAGCCAACATTCCTTTGAACATCTCCAGAAGTTCCTTTTCCCACCGCTCTGCCTGCTCTCGGTCTTCCTGCAGCATCTGCTCGGTGTAGTGCGGGGCTCCCCGGTTCCTCGCCACCAGCCCATCGACCACCTGCAGCAGCGCCTCCACCTGCTCCTCCCTCTCCCGGCCCCTGGCCCTGTTGTCGAACGTGAGGCAGCGGCCCCCGCACTGGGCGATCTGCTTCCACAGGTCTTGGTCTCCCTCCTGCAAGAACTCCCGGAGAGATTTCTCGCCCAGCTCATCCTTGCGGGTGAACAAGGTGATCATGTAGGCCTTGCCTTGAAGGCCGAAGATCTTCTGGATTGTTTTGGCCACCGCCTTCTCCTCCTCGCTGAAGCGGCCCAGCTGGACCACCTGTATGATGGCGTGTGGCCCGGGGTAGAGGAGCTTCAAGCACGTCTTCACCTCTCTGCGGGTCTCTTCGGATGAAGTGCAGGTGTAGAAAAACCCTGGAGTATCAACAACCACAATTCTCCTGCCACCGATCTCGACATCCCTTTTCTCACACTCCATGGTCACTGAGGCGGGTGAGATCGTGGACCTGAATTCCTCAGCCCCCAGGATGCTGTTTCCTGTGGCGCTTTTCCCAGCTCCAGTTCTTCCAACGAGGACAAGCCGCAGTTCGCATGCTGGCGAAAGACACGGGAGAGGAGGAAGGTCAGCCAGGGGCCTGCCTTGATCTGAGCCGGGCTGAGGGTGAACCAGCCCCCCCCCCCCGTTCATCCCCCCCCATGGGGGAGACCGGCAGCCCCACAAGTCGCTCCGTGTATAAAGAGATCAATGGGGGTGCATGCATTTGCTGAGCTGCGCGCTCGCACTCCACGGGTGCGGCACCCAGAGGGGAAGAGCAGGGATCGGGCCCGCTTCCCCTGGGAGGCTCCGCAGCAGCGCCAGCAGCAGCCCGAGGTTGGAGGCGGCCGCTCGCCCCTCGCCCTCGACGGGGGGGTGGGCGAGGCAAGAGGGAAAGGGGGGCCGCGCGGGCCATTGCCTTCTGCTGCCTCCTGGCTCGGGAGGGCGTCCTGGTCGCCCCGCGCGGTTCGGGCCCTGGCATGGGCCCCGGTGGGCGGCCCCTCGGCCTCGTGAGATCGCAGAGCGGAATTGCTGTCCTGCAGCACCGTCAGAGCGGCCGTTATCCTGCCGTGGAGAGCAGCCACTGTGTCTTCAACGTGCTTTCTCAGCTCCCTCTCCAGGCGCTGCAATTCAGTGCCTGAAACGGGAATTGGGGAGGTCCTGAGCAGCACAGCAGACAGGGCGCCCCCCCAGGGACAACGTGCCTCCCTGCAGCCCGCCCCCCCTTGCCCTCTTACCTATGGGGCCTCAGCCACCTCCCATGGAAGCCCATTCCACACCCTGGGGGTCCTAACTGTCAGGAAGCACTTCCTGGCATCCAAACGGAACCTGGGTTCCCTGAGCTTGGCTCCCTTGGAGCGCATTCTGCCTTCCTCTGCAGGGGAGAACAGGTTTCTGCCCACCTCCGTGTGACACCCCCTCACATACCTGTATGTCACCAACAGACCCCCTCTGAGTCTCCTCCAGGCTGAAGAGACCCAGTTCCCTCAGTCTCGCCTCATACGGCATCCCCTGCAAACCGGCCACCGACCTTGTGGCCCTGCGCTGCACTGACTCCAACCTGGCTATATCCTTCCTGTAATGGGGAGCCCAGAACTGAGCACAAGACTCCAGTTGCGGGCGCGCCAGAGTCGCATGGAGTGGCGGCAATACCTCTCTCGATCTGGAAGCCGCACTTCTGGCTCTGCAACCACGGGTGGCATTCAGGGCCGTCTGAATGCGTGGGCCGGGTGGGCGCTTCCCGCGGGCCCCGTGCTAATCTGTGTATGTTGACCCTTGGAAAACGGGAACCTTCCCGAATTAGCAGTGCTTGCAGTTGTCGTGGGGCCGGTGCACTGCGTTGCCCGGGGCCCATCACGCTGTGCAGGCGGCCCTGGAGGCGTGCGCCCTCGGCCACCGCATCCCACGCTGACTCAAGCGTCGCCTGCATGACCTGAGGCCCCTTGCGCAAGGGCTGCTCTCCGTCCCCCCACCCCCCCACCTGTGCTCAGGGCCCCATCGCTCTGCCCCATCGGGAGCGTGCCAGAGCACCGCCAAAAGCCTTTCCCTCTGCCCCTCCTGCCCCCGTGCCGGCACCCGCTGCCTGCCCGGATTTTGCTCTGGGCCTGCGGTGGAAGCGCCGTGCAGGCCAGGCCAGGCGTGGCTGCTGCGTCCTCGGAGGCGCAGGCCCACGGGGCAGGTGCGGCCCGGAGGCGTTGGCGGCAGGCAGCCCAGGTGAGGTGGCAGGCAGCCCAGGTGAGCCCCCGCCCCCCCCGCTGAACCCAGACCTCCGATTTCCTCTTTTCGGCATCATGATCAGCAGTGTGTGGGGGGTGGGGGTGGGGAGGGAATCGCCATTCCTTCCACAGGGAAGCTCGCGGATCGGGATCCCTGCAGACGTGGGCTCAGGCTTGGCACGGGGGGCGGGGGGGGGGCAAGCCAGGCTGTCCAGAGGGAAGCACCACCGGGCAGACCTCCCTCCGAGCTGAGCGACGTCTGGCACAGTCTGGTCAGGGGTCCCGGGTTTCACCCCCAGGCGGGCTAACTTGGAGGGCGGCCACGGTGCATGAATGGGGAGCATACACAGCCCTGGACAGACCCCCCCCCCATGTTGCGGACCCTCCAAACCGGGACTTCGCCCCTTTGCAGAACAGAGGCTGGCGCCACGGCCCTGGCGGTCCCTCCTGCCTGTGGCCAAACTGGGCCGGGACCAGTGCGGGGACCCGGGGGGCCCACCTGCGCACCCCCCCTCGGGCTCCTTCTCCATGGTGGAACCAAGCCAATGGCTGAAGGGGCAACTTGGCTGCTGCTGCTGCTGAGATGTTTGGAGTAGCTTCTGTGGGCAAAGGAGGAAATGCCGCTGCCAGAGAGCTTAGACGCCGGCTCCCTCAGCCCCAGCCGGTGCGGCCAGTGGCTAGGAATGCTGGGAGTCGTGGTCCAAAGCAGCTGGAGGGCACTCCCTCTCTCGAGGCTGCCCTAAGAGGCAGAGGCAAACCAGACCCCGCCAGGTGTTTTCAGCAGCCACTCCCACAATCCCAGACAACAGGCCCTGCTGGGGGGGCTGATGGGAGTTGTGGCCAAAGGCACCGAGAGGGCGCCAGGTTGCTCGGGCTTGCCTTATGGGGTGCTGGGGATCGGGGCGGTTCTGCCCTGATGCCTGCGCTGACGGACTCCGACTTCGGGGTGACTGGGGGGCCCGTCACCTTGCGGGGTTCGCGCAGGGGAGCTGCCTGGGCTCTGCCTCCGGAGGCCCCCCGAGGGCCCGGCCGAGCAGCCCCTGCATCCCCGCTCCCTTCGCCTGGCAGGCCTGCCCGCTGCAGGCGGCGCCCTCGCCAATGCCGGGGCAGCCGCTTGTTCTCTGGGTTGGGCGACGCGCCCCCCGCTCCTCACGCCGATTCCCCGCAAGCCCCTCCGGCTCTTGCTTCCCCTCTCCCTCCCCCACCGCCTTCCCCAGAGGAGACGCAGGCCCAGGACCGGCTGGATCCCAGGCTGTGGCACGGGGGGGGGGGGCTTGTCTTCCTCCTTCCTCCCCACCAGCCCGGTTCCAGCGCGGAAAGTGCCGGAGCGCTCGCTGCTCCGCTGCGCTGCCACCTCTCACCCGAGTCCGATGGCGCCTGCTCCAGGGCATCCCGTGCAGCTCTCCCCTCGGGCGAGCCGAAGAGCAGGCACTTCCCTGCCCGGAAACGGCCCAGCCAGGATGCCGGCAGCGGCACCCGGGGCCCGGCCTGCAGAGACCGAGGCGGCGCAGGGCCCAGAAGAGCCACCGCCACTTCCCCTCGCCCCCCCTCATTCCTCGAGGCACGACTCTGTCACAGGGCCGTCTCCGGTAAGGACGGGGTTTCTGGGGCGCTTTCCCCTCCCCTCGTCTTCCCAATGGGCTCCTCGAATTCCTTGGGAATCCGGTTGCTTCTCGGCTCGGGTGGAATCGCTTCCCTCACACTTGTCCTCATGCCAGAAAGAAAAGCAACGCTGAGAAACATAGAAACAGAAACAGAGCGAGCCAGAAGGGGCCTCCGGGGCCCCCCGGCTCCGCTCACGACATGCCCACCATGTGGACGTCCAGCCTGTCCTTGAACACCCGCACCGGTGGGGCCCCAACCACCTCCCGTGGAAGCCCATTGCACACCCTGGGGGTCCTGACTGTCGGGAAGTGCTTCCTGACATCCAAACTGAACCTTGGCTCCCTGAGCTTGGCTCCATTGGAGCGCGTCCTGCCTTCCTCTGCAGGGGAGAACAGGTCTCTGCCCACCTCCGTGTGACACCCCCTCACGTACCTGTATGTCGCCAACAGATCCCCTCTGAGTCTCCTCTTCTCCAGACTGAAGAGACCCAATTCCCCCAGTCTCGCCTCATACCCCATCATCCCCTGAAAACCGGCCACCAACCTTGTGGCCCTTCGCTGCACTGACTCCAACCTGGCTATATCCCTCCTGTAATGAGGGGCCCAGAACTGAGCACAATACTCCAGTTGTGGGCGCACCAGAGTCATGTAGAGTGGTAGTAACACCTCTCTCGATCTAGAAGCCACACTTCTGGCTCTGCAACCAAGGGTGGCATTCGCCCTCTTGGCCACCACATCACACGGCTGACTCACGTTCAGCCTGCAGTCAACCGGCACCCCGAGGTCCCTTTCGCAAGTGCTGCTCTCCAGCCACTTGGCCCCTAACCTGTACTTGTGACACCCATTCCTATGCCCCAAGTGCAAGACCTTGCACTTATCCACACAGAACGCCATCCTGTTGTCTCCTGCCCACTTCCATAGTCTGTCCAGAACCTTCCGGATCCGGAGTTTCTGCTCCTCAGTTGTGGCCACTGCCCCTGTTTTAGTATCATCTGCGAATTTGATCAGCAGACTGTTCACCCCTCCTTCCATATTGTTGATGAAAAGATTGAAAGGATTGGGGACAGGACAGAGCCCCGGGGGACCCCGCTTGTCACTGGCCGCCATCCCGATGATTCCCCACCAATGGTTACCCTCTGCTTTCGGTCAGTCAGCCATGCCCTAATCCACCGGACAGTGCTTTGGTGTATCCCAAAACTCCTCAGTTTCTCCACCAGGATCTCCATCATGGGGCACTTTGTGAAGGGCCTTGCTGAAATCCAGGTAAACCATCATCCACCGCATCCGCTCCATCCAGCCACCTCGAAACCTTGTCCTAGAATCCCACAAGGTTCGTCTGGCAGGACCTGGGAAACCCAGCAGCTCCTTGGCGGGGCTCCTTTGGCGGCTGCTTCCGGGCATCCACAGAGCCGTGACTCTCCAGCCCCCCACCTTTGCGGGCGAGGACGGCTCCCCCTCCCTGCTTTTCGGTGGATGCAGCCAACGCAAACGCTCCTGTGAGACGCCGCAAGCACAACCCCCGCGCAGACCCCGAAAGGGAAGAGGTGCGTGCAGGCGGCTGGGCCTGGATCAGGGCCCTGGTGCGGGTGCTGGGAGTACTGCACCCTTTGCCTCTGCACATGGAGAGGGGAGCCCCATGTGGAGCCCCCCCCGTGCCCGCGTTTTGACCGCGCAGGCGGGGAGGCGACCTCACCCGCGTTGCCCCCGCCTTCGCGCCGGCCGAGCCGTGCGGGCTCTCGGGCGAGGGCAGTGCGGAGGCAGCGCGAGGCCCCCGGGGCTCTGCAGGGGGGCCGCGGGGCTGGGGGGACGGCAGAGGAGCCGGGTGCAAGCGGCACGCCGGGAAGGGGGG